AATACAGGTAATCCTCAACTTATGATCACAATTGAGCCCAAAATTTCTGTTGCTAAATGAGACAGCTTAGTGAATTTTGCTCATTTGGTAACTTTTATTGCCACAGCTGCAGTTATTAAGTTGGTAACACATTTGTCATGTGAATCTGGCTTCCCCATTGACTTTGCTTGTCAGAAGGTTGCAGAAGGTGATCGCATGACCCCAGGACATTGCAAACGTCATAAACATGAATCAGTTGCCAAGCGTCCGAATTTTGAATCACGTAACCATGGGGATGCTATAATGGTTATACATGTGAAAAACAGTCACTTTTTTTTCAGTACCATTGTAATTTCCAGCAATCACTAAACAAATTGTTGGAAATCAAGACTACCTATATTTTATGATTATTACTCTAATATATTTTACGTTATTGTCACGATACTACTCTTAACAAATAGGGTTGGCTAATAAATATGATAAATAAAACAAAAAGATAAATAAGTAATTAAATCCTTAATTTTGAGAGAGACTGAGATGTAAAGGAGGCTTCAAATGTTACAGAATCCTGCATTCCCATTCGAAGAATTTCAACCAGGACCTCATATGCTTTGGACTAATTTCTTTTTTTTCCTTGTTAACATTTTTATTGAGTTATGAGATAAAATAAGATACAAAATACGAAAGAAAATAGGAAAACCATGGGGAGGAAGGGAGGAAGAGAAGAGAGGAAGGAAGGATAAAATATTCTGATTCCTCTCTTTCTTTAATTGTCAACGTCAATCTACTCATTTCTGCACAATCCAATATTTTCTTAATTACTTCTCCCTCTGTAGGGATTATCTCTGTTTTCCATCTTTGCGCAAATGCTATCCTCGCTGCAGTTATACTGTAACATGTATAATCAAATATATATTTTCTTTACTAAATTTCTCTGGTAAGATACCCAATAGGAGCAGTTCAGGTTTTAAATCTATATGTTGTTGTATCATTTCTTCTAACCATGTTTTAATTTTAATCCAATAATTTCTCGCTTCTGGACAGGTCCACCACATATGATAATACAAACCTGGTATCTGATGACATTTCCATCATGATCTAGTTCAGAGGTCTTCAAACTTGGCAGCTTTAAGACTTATGGACTTCAACTCCCAGAATTCTCCAGCCAGCTATGCTGGACCCCTGATCTAGTTCTTCAGTTTTTTAATCTGTCAAAATGTATATTCAGAAGACTCAGTAAAGTGGGGAATATTGGGCATTTGTGCCTGGTGGTGGCAAAATCTTTCTGCCTCTTATCTTAGTTTTCATGTTTGTGTCTTAAAAAGAGGATTTTAATTTTTCTTCTCCAATACTGTGGAAAGGATCCTGCTAATGCTTCCAGTTAATCTAATCTACCAGGTTCTGATTATACTGCTTATTATTATGCATTAATATTAATAGCTTCTCAAAGAACATCTTCCAAATTAATTTAGCCTGAGAAAGATTTCCATTTCTGATACCCACTTTCTCTTTTTTCCCATTCTCTTGGTCACTGATTCTCTTTCTCTCTCCTTCTCCCTCTCTTTCATTTTCAGAGAGAGAAAGAGACTGCGTGTCAGTAAAACTGTTCATTCATTCAAGAATGCATTCATTCCTGAAAAAAAGTTTCTTGGGAGGAAGGGTGTTTGCTAGAGCTAAATAGTTTCTCCTGATCTATCTTAATTTTAAAGATGTCGGTGTTTACAACATGAATGTCCCTTTCACAGCTTGATTTCCCCCTAAATTAAATTCAGCGTTGGTGAAAGGAAGTGTTGGGTTGACTGAGTGGCAGCATACTCTCAGGTTATGACTAATTTGATAAAGCGTGGTGGCTTAATGATGCTAGAGTCTCAGCTGCAGAGGTTCCAGTCCTAGCATTGTGTGGCAGGGTGAGCTCCTGTCACTTGCCTCAACTTCTCTCCACCTAACAGTTTGAAGGTGTGTTCTATGCAAGTAGATACATAGTGCCACTTTGGTAGGGAGACAAGCTGGTGCTCTGTGCAGGCAGGCAGATTCCTGATGGCTCTGAACCTTCCCGGTTGTGGGGTCCACTTGTGAGGCAGCTTTAGGAAGGGAGGGAGTCTTGGGTGACACTGCAGGAAGAGCCACTCATCTTTTTCTCTAGTGCGAAGCCAGCTCACCCTCCTTGGGAAGTGTACAAGTGTGTCCTATAACAGAGCTGGTACCTTGGAAAGCCAAATACTATTCTGCAATAGCATTGTGGGCTCCTGGCTACTGTAAGAATGCCATACAACAACAACAACAATAATAATAATTGATCTGATTTTATTCCAAAACCTAAACAATACCATAAAACCTTCAACAAACTCCACCATTCATTTGATTATTCCGTTGATCCCTGTGGTTTGCTGTAAATTCAGATCCGAGCAAGATGAATTGTTCTCCGCAGGTCTTTTTGGACCTTTTAACAGTACTCCTAAGTATCTATCTGCATGAGGTCATGGCTCAATAGAAACTCTAAGCCAGGTGTGTCCAGCCTGCCCTGGACAACTAGTAATGTGACCCCAGAAGATCATAAAAAATTAACATTATGTGATTCATATACTTTAATATAGTATATATTTTATATGTGGCCCAACACGATTCTTCTTCACTCATTGCAGCCCAGGTGAGCCAAAAGCGTGGACACTCATATGCTCCTATTCTACTCCATCTACAAGGACTCTAAACAGACTTTCATTAATTTGATGCTAAGAAATTTCTGGGTAGGGAGCATGATTTTTGATTAAGGGTACATCTTTCAAAGAAGGACTCAAAAATGTGTCTTCCCACGTCACCCAGTTTTGTGCTGCCATTATACAAAATATGCCGTACCATTCATTCCGTTTGGAGCTTCTTACAATACCATTTTTATTCTGTTTTATTTTATGATATCTGTTATTGATTATTTTTAGATCTTAATATACTTACTATTTTTCTGTTGTGGAAAAATTGAAGAACTAGGAGTTCTACTACAGGTAGTCCTTGTTTAAAGACTGGTCGCTTAATGACCATTTAAAGTAAAGGCTCCCCAGAGCTAATTAGGACCCAATTTCAAAATTCCGACAACCAGTCTCACACAGTCATGTGGTTGCATTTTGGGCACTTGAAAAGTAGCTCACATTTAGAAGCTGTTTATAGCATCCCAGCTTGTTTTTTGTTTTGTTTTGTTTTGTTGTTTTTGCCAGTTTCTGGCAGTTACTTTGAGTTTCTAGCAAAAACACACCTGTTGTGGGAAACTTAATGACCATGGCGTTCGCTTAACAATCATCACAAAAAAGGTCATAAAAGGTAATGACTTACCACCATAATTCCAGGTTCAATTGCGACTGTAAATTTAAGGTCTAGCTATATTAGATATAAGGGATGCGGTGGTCCAGTGGCTAAGATGCTGAGCTTGTCGATCAAAAGGTTGGCAGTTCAGCAGTTTGAATCCCTAGTGCCGCATAATGGGGTGAGCTCCCGTTACTTGTCCCAGCTTCTGCCAACCTAGCAGTTCGAAAGCAGGTAAAAAATGCAAGTAGAAAAATAGGGACCCCCTTTGGTGTGAAGGTAACAGCGTTCCGTGCGCCTTTGGCATTGAGTCATGCCGGCCACATGACCATGGAGACATCTTCGGACAGTGCTGGCTCTTCGGCTTTGAAACAGAGATGAGCACCGCCCCCTAGAGTCGGGAACGACTAGCACATATGTGCGAGGGGAACCTTTACCTTTACCTTATAGATATCTTCTTGGGTCTTCCCTTAGTGCTGTAATAGGCTGATTTAATTTGATCCATGCATGAAGAAACAGGGTTTCATAGGCATACATTTTGTGAGTGTTTCAATGGGAATTGAATTGAGCTCATAGATAGTTAGAGAGCCAGTTTGGTCTAGTGATTAAGGCATTGGGCTAGAAACAGGGAGACTGTGAGTTCTAGTCCTGCCTTAGTCATGAAAGTCGGCTGAGTGACCTTGAGCCAATTCCTCTATCTCAGCCCAACTCACCTCACAGGACTGTGTCAAGGTTCCGACTAATGAACCCAAACAAATCAGAACTCTGAGACTTGAATCCACCTCAAAGGTCTTCTTTATTGAGTACATCATATTGGCAGAGATTAAAGGAAAACCAACTCTAAATAATTCCTACAATTTCAGTATAATTAAAAGAAGAAATAAACTCATCCCCAAGTTTCACAGGTCACGTTGGCCAATTGGCGGACTTTCAGGGCACTCCTTCCCCGACCTTATCCTTCTCCATGGAGATGACCTTGGTTCCCATGAGAAAGTTCTTTGTTGTATCTAATGAGGTATTGCAACCTCCTTCCCCCCTTCCCCTTCTGTGTGGCAACTGAGGAACAGTAAAATGGCTTCTGCCAGGTTCGGTTCGAAGTTGATAGACTGTTGTTGTGGGGAAAATAGGAGAAAGGTATGTTGGATATGTTTGTCACCTTATGTTATTTGCAAAAAAAAAAGGTAGGATGCAAATAAACAAAATGTGACATCTTTGATATATTGACTTAAATTTCCAGACAATGTTGTAATCCTATGGGACCAAGGCACTCTGTTCTTTGTTGCTTAAAATAAGAAAAAGAAGAATAGGAATAATTTTATTTCTATACCGCCCTTCTCCCGAAGGACTCAGGGCGGTGTACAGCCTATTAAAAGCACAAGACAAACATCAATTAAAATAATTTAAAATTATTAAATAATTTGGCTCAATTTAAAACCCCAGAAATTTAAAACACCCATAACAGAATAACAGAGTTGGAAGGGACCTTGGAGATCTTCTAGTCCAACCCCCTGCTCAAGCAGGAAACCCTATACCATTTCTTACAAATGGTTCTCCAGTCTCTTCTTAAAAACTTCCAGTGTTGGAGCACTCACAGCTTCTGGTTAATCGTTCTCACTGTCAGGAAATTTCTCCTTAGTTCTAGGTTGCTTCTCTCCTTGATTAGCTTCCATCCATTGCTGGAAAATAATAATTTGGCCTCTTTGTTTTGTTTGTTTTCTCCCTGAATGCAGAAATGCCAGGAAGCCCACGCAACCAGTTTACCTTCAGACCACTGCCACCTCCGCCACCACCTCCCCATGCGTGCACCTGCAGCCGAAAGCCTCCTTCAGCAGCCAACTCCCTCCAAGCCAGATCGTTGACCACCCGCAGCCAGCCGAATCCAGCCGCCCCATCGCCCACCAATACCCAGGACTCTGTGCATCTTCATAACAGTTGGGTTCTGAACAGTAACATACCACTGGAGACCAGGTAAAGCATTTCAAATTCTGTCCTTGAACATGTCTGCAAGCTAAGAGTCGGCAGGAATCAAAGAAAGCAGCACAACAAGATAGAATAACAGAATAACTGTTCTGTCCCCGTCTCACACACGCACCCCCACAGACAGGCAACAGCTAAAGTACTCAGCCAACAACAGTTTATCCGGTATCATAATTGGCAGCAACGCAGTGGCTGGCTGCCAAGTATTCTTTACTCATGAGGGGGGAGTTTCTCCCTTCGTCCAGGAACAAAGCCAATACACAATAATCAACAAAGTCCAGTAAATACAAAGAAGGTCATCCGATATCCGTTTTTTGCTTGTCACAGAGCTGAACCGGCCACCACACCCTCTTTTATATCCTGTGGGGTGTGGTCCAATGACTCAGCCTAATCCCTGGCACGCCTCTTCTTCTGTTGCACGCACTTATCTCTGCAACGCTGCCAAGGATCCAGCCAAGACTCATCTCCTCATTACTGTCCACCTGTGGCTGTGTGGACATGCTTGGCCCCGGGTCTATCTCTTGACCTTCGGCAGACACCGAAGGCATTGCCAGAGAGGAGGGTCCTGGAGAGGGAGGCCTTGCCAACTCCTCTCCTTCACTCTCGGAGTCCTCTCCTGCCAATAACACAGGCTCAGGTAACGGAGCCACAACACTAACAACATTGAAAGGGACCTTGGAGGTCTTCTAGTCCTACCTCCTGGTCAAGCAGGAGGCCCTGTACCATTTCTGACAAGTGGCTTTCTTGCCAGAAATTTTCTTGAAAGGTTCCAGTGATGGAGCACCCATAACTTCTGAAGGAAAGCCATTCCACTGGCTAATTGTTCTCACTGTCAGAAAATATCTGCTTATTTTTAGGTTGAATCTCTCCTTGATCAGTTTCCATCCATTGTTCTTTGTCTGACCTTTGGTGCTTTGGAAAATAGCTTGACCCGTTCCTCTCTGTGGCCATCCCTCAAATATTGGAAGACTGCTCTCATGTCTCCCCTGGTCCTCCTCTTCACTAGACTAGCCATGCCAAATTCTTGTAACCGTTCTTCATATATGTTTTGGCCTCCAGTCCCCTAATCATTTTCGTTGCTCTTCTCTGCACTCTTTCTAGAGTTTCAACATCTTTTTTATTGTGTAGTGACCAACACTGGATGTATTTATGGCCTTTTGCAGCATCCTGCTGTCACATTACTGCATTTTATGACAGTTTTGCCAAAAACTGGCATTGATTTCTGTTTTTTGGCAAAACTGTGCCAATAGTAAACCATTGGTTTGTTTAATGACCACAGTGTTCACTTAATGACTTTGCTTAACAACTCTAATGATTTACTTAACAGCCATTGTGAACATGGTCATAAAATTGGGCTAGTCATGTGTCCAAACCATTTTACAACCATGATGGGCAGGATCCATTATGGCCATAAGTCAAGGACTACTTATAATTACAACCTTGTATTCCAGGCAGGGATACTGTATATGTCCCCACTTTCTCAGCTTTTCTGGGCAAGTTTCAAAAATATAATAGATGATCATACAAACATGAAATGTAGACCATTGCAAACTAAAAAAAAAAAGGAATGGCTTCATGTTATAATATTTTGAAAAGCTAGGTTTTTAACCACTTTCTGGGATTCAGATGCTTCAGATCAATAGACGATTAGTTCCATGACCTGAGTTTAATTTTTTTTAAAAAAAAATTTTGATTTATATGCCGCCCTTCTCCGAAGACTCAGGGCGGCTTACAATGTGCTCAGCAATAGCCTTCATCCTTTTGTATATTTATACAAAGTCAGCTTATTGCCCCCACAACTGGGTCCTCAATTTACCTACCTTAGAAAGGATGGAAGGCTGAGTCAACCTTGAGCCTTGGCGAGATTTGAACCCTGCAGTAATTGCAGGCAGCTGGTCTTAATAACCAGCTTAATAACAGGGTGCCTTAAACCCCTGTACTACCAAGGCTCTTTCAGTTATGTACAGAAAGCAGAATTAATTATTGATCTCAGACAGATCTTTAGTTGTGGGATCAACCAAAGATGCCCCATTGATGGCTTAGTAGACCACAGGAAAGTAGACATTTTTTCTAATTAACTTAGGTGGCTCAGTGACTAGGACGCTGAGCTTGTCGATCAGAAAGGTCGGCGGTTCGAATCCCTGGTATAGGTCTCCCGCGTGAGCAAGGGGTTGGACTAGATGACTTCCAAGGTCCCTTCCAACTCTGTTACTGTTACTTCGAAAGAGGAGAAGGAATCAGTATTTAATATAATATAATAACAGAGTTGGAAGGGACCTTGGAAGTCTTCTAGTCCAACCCCCTGTTTAGGCAGGAAACCCTACACCACTTCAGACAAATGGTTATCCAACATCTTCTTAAAAACTTCCAGTGTTGGAGCATTCACAACTTCTGGAGGCAAATTGTTCCACGGATTAATTGTTCTAACTGCCAGGAAATTTCTCCTTAGTTCTAAGTTGCTTCTCTCCTTGATTAGTTTCCACCCATTGCTTTTTAATCCTGCCTTCTGGTGCTTTGGAGAATAGCTTGACTCCCTCTTCTTTGGGGCAGCCCCTGAGATATTGGAACACTGATATCATGTCTCCCCTACTCCTTCTTTTCATCGAAGTAGACATACCCAGTTTTTGTAACCATTCTTCATATATTTTAGCCTCCAGTCCCCTGATCAATCTTTGTTGATTTTCTTTGCATTTGTATATGTTGTATCTCAAATACAGCAATATGCTGTCAACCTCTTACTTGTGTCAGTTTTATTTTCTTCAAAAACCTTGATAAGAAAGCATGTGTAAACCCAGGTCAAATTTTTTTCCTTCTCTTTTCTTCTTCTATGCGCTATAAAGAGTACTGTAAGCTTCTAATTTCCTTTTAAGCAGTTTACCAATCTCAAAACGTGATGTTTTGTTAAACCAGTGTTAAAAGAGATCAGTCAGATATCCTGAATCTGCATTTACTTAAAAGCCGCTACAATAAACATTTGTGTAATGGTTTTATACCTTCAAAATGAGTTGAAAGCTAATTGCAACTTGTACATTAGGGAAACAGTGCAGCTGTAAAAGTAACATATGGATAAGCTCCTCTGAAGTGTTCAGCAATCCTGGCTTCAGAAGAATTATCCTAATGCTGCTTAAAATAGCAAAAAAAATCTGTCTCTTGGGTTTTGGAAAAGTAGATATAGTAACAGAGAATGGACAACATCTTTGAGCATAGAATTGTTGTTGTTGTTAGTTGCGAAGTCATGTCCAACCCATCGCAACCCCATGGACAACGTTCCTCCAGGCCTTCCTTTCCTCTACCATGCTCTGGAGTCCATTTAATCTGACGCCGACTGCTTCAGTGACTCCATCCAGCCACCTCGTTCTCTGTCTTCCCTTTTTTCTTTTGCCCTCAATCGTTCCCAGCATTAGGCTCTTCTCCAGGGAGTCCTTCCTTCTCACTAAGTGGCCAAAGTATTTGAGTTTCATCTTCAGAATCTGGCCTTCTAAAGAACAGTCAGGCTTGATCTCCTCTAGGACTGATTGCCTTGTAGTCCAAGGGTTTGATCGCCTTGCAGTCCAAGGGACTCAGAGCAGGAGTCTTCTCCAGCACCATAGTTCAAAGGCCTCAATTCTTTGGCGCTCAGCCTTCCTTATGGTCCAACTTTCACAGCCATCCATTGCAACTGGGACAACCATAGCCTTGACTATACACACTTTTGTTGGCAGGGTGATGCCTCTGCTTTTTAGTAAGCTATCTAGATTTGCCATAGCTTTCCTCCCCAGGAGCAAGTATCTTTTAATTTCTTGGCATAGAATAGAATATAGAATAATAGAGTTGGAAGGGACCTCGGAGGTCTTCTAGTCCAATCCCCTGTTTAAGCAGGAGACCCTCTTTCATTTCAGACAAATGGTTGGTTCTTAAAAGCCTCCAGTGATGGAGCACACACAACTTTTGGAGGCAAGCTATTCCATTGGTTAATTGCTCTCACCATTAGGAAATTTCTCTTTGATTCTAGATTGGTTCTTTCTTTGTTAAGTTTCTTTCCATTGCTTCTTGTCTTGCCTTTTGGTGCTTTGGAAAATAATTTGACCCCCCTCGTCTTTGTAGAGTCGTGGTGTCACAGTGGTTAGAATGCAGTACTGCAGGCTACTTCTGCTGAGTGACAGCTAACGGCAGCTCGGCAGTTCGATTCTCACCGGCTCAAGGTTGACTCAGCCTTCCATCCTTCCGAGGTCGGTAAAATGAGCACCCAGATTGTTGAGGGCAAGAGGCTGACTTTGTAAATTGCTTAGAGAGGCTGTAAAAGTATTATGAAGCGGTATATAAGTCTAAGTGCTATTGCTATATAAGAGCCGTAGTGATGTAGTGGTTGGAATGCAGTATTGCAGGCTAATTCTGCCGACGGCCAGGAGTTCAATTCTGACTGGCTCAAGGTTGACTCAGCCTTCCATCCTTCCAAGATTAGGGACCCCAAAATGAGGGGGCAAACCCAGATTGTTGGGGGCAATGTGCTGACACTGTAAACCACTTAGAGAGAGCTGTAAAGCACTGTGAAGCGCTATATAAGTTTAAGTGCTAAGTGCTAGGAGCCTCTCAAAGAGGGATGAGAAGAGGGATGCAACTCAATATGCAGAGGAATATTAAAATAATGTCCTGTGAAGAGATTGGAGAGCCATTTATCTGCCATATAGGGTCTCCTACTTGAGCAGGGGGTTGGACTAGAAGACCTCTTAGATCCCTTCCAACTCTATTAGTCTTCTATTCTGACATAAAGAGAAGGCAAAATTGTTTAAGATCTGTTGGCTGAAGATTCTAAAAACATGACAATAAAACTGTGAATATACAACGTTACGATGATTCCGGTGTATTTACCAAAATATACCATCTCAAGAAACAAAGATTGTAAATCCTGGTCTTCTCTTATCACCCATTAATTGACCTTTTAATTAGCATATTTGTTTGTTTGTTTTTTAGATGCTCATCCAGCCTTTATTACCTTGTAAGTAACTCAAGGA